AAATACCCAGTTTCACTTCCAAGAAAGGAAAGGAAGGTTACAGCTTTGGAAGTTGTTTAAGGCACCAAAAGGTACCTACCCATTATTCTCACGTTAAAATGCTCCTGATTCCAAACCCAGATTTGCACCTGCAGGCTTCAGTCACTTGCTGACACCTGAGAGGCAGCTCAAACTAGGCTTTCTCCATCATAAACTGAAGATCTCTAATTTTCACTCTCATACAAAAAGTCATTAAAAAGACCACAGATTGAAGCACTGGAGAGAAAAGGCATGGTAACAGCAGTAACAACTATATAAAAATAACTTTTCTAGATATTTCTGCTCGGGTCTAGATCAAAACTAAAATTGAGCTGTCATGAGCTACAATCTAATCCTTTGGAAAGCAGCAGCCGCCACCGAATAGCACCAGGGCTGCATAAAACATTCTGGTGCTACTGAAACCCAATGCAAGGAAGGAAAAAAAAAAAAAGAAAGAAAAGAAAATGGCATTCTGTGATGGATATTCATGAAGCACTCATCCTAATTTAAAGGAAAACAAGTTTAGAGTTCTTACTGCATTAATTCATGTGAATCTGAAGGAACATTTTTATCCAAACTGTTACATTTCCGACCAAGGCGTTAACATTCTCCAGGTCTGCTCAGATACACTAATTCTGAGAGGGTGAGATTTGTCTTAGCTAAAGTGAAACATCAGAAGCTGCTTCTGAGCTTTGCAAACAGGAAAGGAATGGCCTCTTTAACTCCACTAGGGATGGTAAGGACTAGCAGTTATTGAGCTCCTACTGTGTACATAGTGCTACATGAGCTCTGTACTTACGGCCTCCACTATGACACAGTTATTGCAGCTATTCCCCATCTATGGCTGAGGACACGGGAGGTCACTCTGCTAATGCCTAGCTAAGCCAGGATCTGAACCCACATTTGTCAGTCTCCAGAGTCACAACTCCTACTACCTATGAGAACAAACTTTAACGCGGCCATCATGGTGAGATGCAGGGGGTTTTAGTCAACTTTAAATGGAAAGACAATTCTCATTTAAGGATACACTACACAGATAAAATCACACTGGGTCTGACACAGTGACAATCAAGTGCTCACAAGTTACAGCTCAAATGGTTTGCAGCTATTGCTCTGCAAAGTGTCCATTTTCACTCTGTAAATGAAGTAGGCAAAAAGATGTTTCAAATTCTTGTGGAATTTTGTGTGTGCATTTTTTGCTATTTTAAAACAGGGTTTGGGTATGCTACCCAGGATGGCCTTGAACTCCGGAGCTCAAGCAATAAATAATCCTGCCTCAGCCTCCTGAGTAGCTGGGATTACCAGCATGTGCCACCATACTCGAGGTCTTAATTTCTGATCATGAATTAAGGATTCGTTTCAGGTTAAAAAATAAAAGCTTTCTCAGGGCAAAGAACTCAACATAAACAAATACTGAGGAACAGCATAGCATCTGTTTACTGCTGGCACTTCAGGCACACGGGTCCTGGAAAATACAGCATGTTTTGCTTCTCACAACAAAAGGACTAGTAGGGCATGGTGGCACATGCCTATAATCCCAGCACTCGGAAGGCTGAGGCAGGAGGATCACTGCAAGTTTGAGGCCAGCCTGGGCTACACAATGAGTTCAAAGCCAGCCGAGGTCCTGTCTCAAAAAAAAAACAAAAAAACAAAAAACAAAAAACAAAAAACCAACAACAACAAAACTCACCTTGAACTGCATTTTTCCACGAGGTTTTCCACACCATCAACAACCAGAAAACAATCATGAGAAACTTAAATGCACTTGTTGATGACCTTCACTAAGCTAAATCGGCAGCTTTTCAGCTACAAAACATTAAATAGATACAAGAAATATGAAAAACATTAAGCAGACTTCACATTAACATGAAAATAAATGGGAATAAAACATAATAATGGCAAGGTAGATTCATAATACTGACATTGTTTACAAGGGCTTGCACTGGAAAGCAGAAGTAAGATTCAGAGGCTTGGAGAAATTCACAACTAAGTGGTTCAGAGTCTGGTGGCTTATCATTCTTCCACCTTGATAAATTTACACACAATACCAATGAAAATATATTAACCAGTTACTGGAGTGCCACAAATTTTGCATAAGTAACTCTTTTGCATAACATTTTCATTTAAAAACTCATAGCAGGGCCGGTGATAGCTCAGTGGACAAAGTGCCTGCTTAGGCAAGTACAGGGACTGGGTTCGATCTCCAGCACCACATGCCACACTGTCCCCACCTCTGGGTGCGCTGAGCCGGCCACTGAGACCAGGTGTGGTGGCACATGCCTGTAATCCCAGCGCTGGGGAGGCTAAACAGAAGGATCACTACGAGACTGAAGTACATAGTAAAACCCTGTACCAAATACATTAAATAAATAAAATAAAAACTCATAGCAACCCCAGAGAATGGACTCTATTATCCCACACTTTACAAATAAGAAAAAAGGCTCAGAAACATCTGATAAATTGCTCAAGTTCACATCGCTAGCAAGCAGCTCTGATTCCAAAGCTGATGTTCTTTCCCTGCAGCCTCCAAAGAAAGATTTGTGTGGCTGTTTTCTTTTCCCAGAATCAGCAGTAAACATTTTAATGTTTCAAAGATTCATTTCGTGGGTCTGCACCCCAAGAATCAAAGCTGAAAACAGCATCATCAGATATCAGCTATACATGGCAGAGAAAACTGATAAGCAGAAATAGCTTCTCCAAGAAAAAGTCAACTCACACAAAAAATGTTGTTTACCAACAAGACCCAGGAAGTATCTGAGTACTTACTCTCAAAGTCCAGGACTGCGTAGGCACTCAGGGCCCTGAGAAAAATATTAAGACTCAGTACCTTAACATTCCCATTCCACTTAGGAGGAGAACAAGCTCCATAACCAGAGGAATAAGCACTGAACCAAGTACCACAAAGGGGTGGTGGGGGTAGGGCAGCCAGGGAACACCCTCTGCAGGAAGCATATCTTCAGCAAGGGCTTGAAGGAAGTGAAATGGAAAATGTGCACAGAGGGAAAGAACAGGAGCAATGCCCAAGGCTGTCATAACGCAGCTTCTGCAGGGGCCAGACCTGGAGAAGAAGCCGGGAAGAAGGTTCAGGTGGGTGGAGCAGGGCCAGCAGGAGTACAGCTTTGAAAACACAGCAAGGGCAGTGGCTGGACACAACGTGGCAGGCAAGAGGACACCTCAGCTCTGACCATCACTGCCATGGCCTCGTAGGTGATCTGGCCACCAGCCTCTCCCTTCTGCCTCACATACACATACCATCCCTGATCTCCTGTCACTCATGGACCCCTTTAGAATACTTTCAACTCTGACCTAGTGTTCCAAGTTTTTTCAGGAACCATGCCAAGTTCCTAATCGCCTCCTATAGGGGGTCTTCTCTGCCAAGAGACTGAGCTGGACTCCTCTCTTCCGATCTGAATCCTATGTATCCTTTAAAGCCCAGCTGAAATCCTGCCCCTTCACTAAAGCCCTCGCTGACCACCATGCCACAGTGACCTCTATCCCTCCTTGTTAATTCTATAGCACACAGCCTCACCCCATCAAAATTACCTCTTAACAGGTAATGTCTCAGCACCCAGTGGAAAGCTATTTGGAGACTAAGCATGAAAAGTTTACAGCTTTCCCCTACCACATGGAAGCGCATCTTGACATTTAATAGGCAAGCACACACTCAACTATTTTCTGACTTCCTATATTATAAGTTTGGCGTTAGCATAAAGGAAGAATGGGGGAGGGGGAACCTTGGAGTCAGCGACCAGCTAAGAACTGTTGCAATAATCCAGATGTGAAGCAAAGAAGGCCTGGACTAGGGAACAAAGAGAAAATGGGCAAATATAAACAAAATGTTTGCATGCAAAAGCTCCACCGAATCTGACTAAAACTAGGGACAACAGCAAGGGATGAAGAATGATTAAGGTGAGATTTTGAAAGTGCTGCTTGGAATCATTTTAAACCTGTCTGAGTGCATTAAGTGGCTAAAAAAGTCTTCATTTTCACAAAGTCTTGAAGCGAAACTACTCAGTGTCTGGAACCAGGGACAGCCGTTCCTGTTTCAGATACACACTGCACGGCAGAGTTAGATCTTTACAGAGCTGAACTAAACTCTCAATTCTCACAAGGGGAAACTGAGGCCCTGAGTGCAAAAAGCTTGCTGAAAACCTCAGGACACAGGATCCCAGACTAGCCCACAGCCACAGCAGGAGACCGTTTACACCCCCAGGTCAGCCCGAGTTCGTCCCCCCAACCCCCGCAAGGCAGGACTGAGCTCAAGTGACCATGGAGACCTCCAGGGCCAAGCACAGCGGGCCGCCGCCTCCTGTTTACCTGGAGAAAGACGGCAGCGTGGGCTGCGGCTCCTTGGCAGCTCCCCGAGGGCCCGACCCCCGGCCCAGCCCGGCTGTCCAGCGGCCTCAACCACCCAGCCCCACCCCCGGCACCACAGGCAGCGCCCCCGCAGGCGCGGGCCCGGAAGCCGGGACACCGAGACGCCCGGGGCGGAGGCTGGGAGCCCAGGGCAGCTGCCCCGGAGCAACCCTCGGCCTGGCCGGCGGCC